AAGTAATGACACAAACATTAAATAAATCCCTGCAGAAAATCACATCTACACTAAACTGTGGACAAAAAACAATAAGCTGACTCACAGAATACATGATTGGGAATAAATTACATTTCATCTCCGTTTACATCTACGAAAGTTAAACCTCTGTCTCGGCTGCATTTGGAGAGGAGTTGCAAATATCAATATTTTCTCACAGGAAGACAATTGTCTTCTGTCGCCATGAATATTGAACACATCTTTAGTATGGAAAATAAAAATAACTTAAGTTCAAGTCGCTTAATCGAGAAAACAAAGAGGAACTAAATGAAGACTAATATGAAAATAAATGTACAGCTGACAATCATGACTGAACCAATCAATACGCAGTTTGTTCACTTCCCTCTGGCTGCTGTGATAGAGCCAAAATCTGTCAATTAACACACACACACAAGCATATAACACGCGCACATGCGCGCACACGCACACGCACACACACACACACACACACACACAGTTTATACCGGCCAAAGGGCAACCACCTCCTATGAAGCGTTGTGGTTTGGATCAGCAGTATTGACAGATTTCACATTAGACCTATTGAAATGCATTGTTGCTGCTGCCACCACAACACACACACACAGACTCTCTGGTATGTACCACCAATCAATCTAAGGTCTCAATCGCATTCTTTCCACCTGCTTTAACGGAGAAAAAAAGAGGCAGGCGGGTCTTGCGACTCTGATCTGACCCGCAACCTTGACCTCTGACCTTTAGAGGTTGTGGTCAAGGATTTAAAAAGAGGGGAGGGGGCATGAGGGACATTCAATAGATATGTTGTGATGGTCACGCCTGCTTTAGGAGAATAAACGGCATTATACATCAATTAGGTCTGACATCTGTTTAGTTACGGATCTACGTTTATTCAGTTTTTCCTTTTTGATTTTTTATCTATTTGAGCAAACAAAATATTACTTAAAAGAGGAGAAGGGGAAGATAAAGAAAGTGTGGAAGATGAAAAACTATTACTGAGACGGAGAATAAAACTGAAGACTGAGAGGATGAAAATGTGTCACGGAAAGAAAAGAAGGCAGAGAAGGTGAAGAAAGAAAGTAAGATGGGAAGAAATAGGACTAATGGCGATATGGGGTGTGTTAAATGCTATGAAACAACAGAAAGAAGAAAGACGAATTGAGCCGACAAAGAAGAAATAAAGAAGGAATTGTTGCCAAACTGATGCTTTCACAAAACCAATTTAAAGTTTTAAAGGCATTTTTATAGCACATTTTTGAACAGGTGTTGTTAAAACTGCTGTTTTATACCAGCAGCCTCTTTCTTTTATGGATTAATCTCATATTCCATTTGTAGGTCCAGTAAATACTCACATTGACTGTATGGATTTTTTATAATATGACTGAAATCTGCCTTGATTCTCTTTACCCTCTCGCTGTTAGTGTTTGCGTCACTAATTTTCAAAAACAACATTGGAAGTGTAAATGGTGAATAAATCTGATCCATTTATCGGTCATGCTGCTCACTGTCAGTCATGGTCATGTATCTGCACCCCCACACCCAAAGGCAATGTGTTAGCCATCCAAAGAGTCATTAGCATAACACCATCCCTGACACACACACACACACACCTCAGGACACTCATGAATAATGCGCCCATGTAGATCAGAGTAGAATAAAACTATAAGAAGACAAGACCAATGAAGTTTATGGGAAAATTTAATTGAAATTAAATTATTCCTAATTTCATGTTCAGAGTAAATTGTAGTTTTTGGGGGTTTGGCTTAACTTCAGGTGCTCCTCCTCCAAACACTGGACTGATAAACGAGTCCCACCAAGTCTGTGCTCCATCCACTTAACAGCATCCACAAATATCACCCAGATATATATATAAACACACACACACACACACACACACATCGATGAAGGGTGTCTTACACCACGATAAACATCTCCCCTCCTCTCCTCTGTCTTTCTTTTATTGTATTGTATTATGTCAAATTCCCAGAGGACCATGGGGTAGCATCCCTCTCCCTCACATGTTCCGTCAGGCGCTCTGCGCAGCTGTGTGTGTGTGTGTGTGTGTGTGTGTGTGTGTGTGTGTGTGTGTGTTGATGCACGGCAAATAGGGATGATGTGTGGTATAATTCATCTTGAATAATTTCCTGCGCATTCTTCTTCATGCTTTGCCTCAGGAGCACTTCAGGATGAAAGGAATGTTAATGCTGTGTCTGTATCTGCCCGAAGAATGTGTNTGTGTGTGTGTGTGTGTGTGTGTGTGAGAGAGTTGTCGTATTGTCAGACGGGTAAACGGGGAGTTAAACAGATATATCCAAGCGTAAAATCTAAAAAGGCTCCCCAGTGGGCGCCGGAGGGGGTTGCTGGGAATCAAGCACATATCAATTGAGAAGCAGAAAGAGACCGAGTGCTGGTGAGAGAGAGACGGTGGAAGAAATAGAGATAGCAGCTCCTTCCATGGTACATTCAGGTGCTCTGACAACTATAAATTACAGCCTTTTTCTGTGTCGTCTTCCCATTTTCTTGCTGTGCCTCTTTCCTTATTCTTTTTCCACCCACTTCTTTGGTCTCTTTACAATTTCTTACTCCTCACCCTTTTGTTTAAGCTGCTTTCCCCGGAGAGATGTAAAGCAGAGCAACGAGCATGCAAGCAAAGAGTTTGTTGCACAAATCACTGATGGTGAAACAGGGATTATCATTTTCTTTCTTCCTGCATGATCCAGTGTGTTTGTATAAGGCAAACTAATATAATATATGAGAGAGAATTTAGCAGAATTGCCTGAAAAAAGGTAGACAGGTATGAGATAGAGAGACACATACACACACACACACACACACACACACACACACACAGCTAGACTTGCGCTGTGCGGTGTAATGCTCTACTTGATTATCTCATTGTTGTCTGTAAGTACAAGCCCAAATTGAATCAGCCTGCACTCCATTGTCTCTCTGCAGCTGGTGTGTGTTTGTGTTTGTGTGTGTGTGTGTGTGTGTGTGTGTGTGTGTGTGTGTGTGTGTGTGTGTGTGTAGGGCTGGTAATGAATGGCCAATCTAGTCTATCTAGAGAAACCCTTCTCATTACAGTGCTCCCATAATTACTAGCTCTCTGCGAAAACTATGCCCTGCTTTATTACTTTATACGCAGTGCAGCCAAGGCTTGGGACCGAAGAGATGAGATAAACGCACAAAGCGTGTGTGTGTTTGTATGTGTGTGTGTGTGTACGTTTGTTTTATATTTGAGTCATTTACTGCAGCTGATGTTTGCAAGTAGCGAAAGCTGAATGATTTACAATGTGTGTGGAGCCTTAATGCTACGAACAGCAACGTAATAAACAACAAATGGTGCAAGCACACACACACCATTCTACTGGTTCAATCGAAACGTGGAGGGATATACACTGGCAATTAGTGCACTTGTTAAAGTTCTGAACATTGTATTTAAAGTGGTGCTTATATAATTGTAATTGGCACGAAAAAAATGTTCTTAATGCTTAAATGCATTATACAGAAAACTTGAAATTTTATACTGACCAAAATGTAAAAACTATATGGTTGATTTTGTGTGAATATCTTTTAAAGGAAGAAGTGAAACATTCAAAATGGAAATGATGTTATTCAGAGCAGTCCTGTGACTATGCCATTATATTATTTAGCATGTTCCCAGTAAACCTGCATCCATGAATCCTCCCTCCTGCTGGGAGCCATCAGACCAAGGACGGGCCTGAGGCATCTGGGAACCATGGAAGAGAAGAAAGGGTTGGATGGATGGATGGCAGGAGGAGGAGGAGACAGAAACAGAGGTGTGGAGGATAGATGGAAAGAGACAAGGAGGAGATGGAGAAGATTTTTTAAAGAGAAACAAATCACAAAAAAGGATAAAGAACAGCTTCAAAGAAAAGTTCCGTCCACAGTGTCTCTGCTTCAGTTTATCTGAGAGGTGCTAAAGAAGCCAAATCAGGCTCTTGGTATTTCATCTTCTGACCTCCCCCTGACAAAACACATTATAAATATATATTAAAAATTTAATTGATGGTGACACCTATTTCTTATGAGATAAAAATGCAGGTAATGCAGTGTTGTAAGACAAAGGACTAAACATGTCAACAGGAATCTTGTTTTTTAATGTAATGTGATTAATGAGGTGTTGAGGCAGTAATTTAAAGAGGTCACTACTTTGTTTCCCCCCTCTGGGAATACGTTATAAGTTTATTTTGATTATTAAACTGGATTTAATTTGTACAACACACAAATCTATTAATTAATAAGCATATGGGAAACCTGGAACAAAATCAGATCATTCCAAGCTGCTCTTTTTACAAAAATCCACATATTTTGAGGGGAAAGTCATAAAGAAAATAATAGTGAGCCTTTGTAATATACTCCCCTGGATGAGTCCATTAGGGGCTGCTTAGGTGAGCTGATATGGCTGTAATAGTAGTGATTAGTACAAACCCAGCGAGCCATAGAGGATGACAAATGGCACCTGAGACAGAGCATGATTACAAGCGTTTATATGAGCGGAGACAGTATCAGCACAGAGTATGATGGATGATGCCCGGAGCTCAGTCAGAGCTGGCTCATAATTAGACCTTGATGGCATTAGTTGCATTTCCTGGTGGGTATGTCACAATAAATGTGCCAGACTAGTTAAAAAGGGACACCTTGACATTTTGAATTTGTTTTTTTTAAACTCTGCAGGTGACTGTCACAGCGTGGAATAAAGCTCTCTCCGTCTGAAACAAACGGATGTACAGCAAATCTTGGTGGATTTATTAGTGAAGTGTATTTAAGCCAATGGGACAATAAAAGGCTTGAATGCACAGCGCACTGATGGCCTGTGATGTTACACTACGTGCACCACTGCGCAGATAATCGTCACCTAAGCTCTCGATGTGTGTGTGTGTGTGTGTGTGAGCTGAGGTAATTATTAAGGCAGGTTACACTGTGTGAAGGTAAGGTAACAGAGTGGAAGGTAGAGAGCACCGTACCTGCAGCAGCTCCAGTGATGGGTTCTCTAGTGTGCATTTCACCCGTCTGGCCGTGTACCTGAGGAGCAAGTGAGAGTCAGGGATGAAGTGTATTAGTATAGTGTTAGTTTTAGTAGCAGCAGTACATGCACCAGTGGGAGTATAGTGCGTAATAATAACTATCATGGAAATAACAGTAGTTGTGGCACAAGAAACAGTGATGGAAGAATTAAAAGGTAACATTAGATCTCTAGTTGCAATTTAGCAGAACTACAGCATTAACGTCACTCACACTCTCCTGCATCTGTGTTTGCCCTCTATCCAGTTTACCTCTATCAATCAAATGCACTCTCAGATATGAGCGCACACACATTACATATCGGGGAAAAAATAAAGTGCCACATGTCCATCTAACTCTGTGACCCCTACAAGACACACATACACACACAGGAAGCAGCCTCTCTACCCTCACGAGTCTGGCTGCTCAATTAGTCAGTCATAATGCTGAGCCCCGGTCAGGCTGAGATCATGTTGCCGGGCTCATCATGACACAGTCAGATCAGACAGGTCAAATACCTGTTCAGATAACACACAGCAACCTGCCACTGATATTTTACCTCAGCTACCAGACAAACTCTCACCTCACTTTGAATACCATCTGCAGGGTGTCCACGCGACACAAATGCACAAAGTACATGATTATGCAAGAAATCCACCTTCTGCATCATTAATCATGTCATCTCCTGTTATCTATTTCCTTTATACATTGTTTTTTAATCATTTCAATCATCGTTTGATTTATAAACACAATCCACCAAAAAAAGTTAAACTGCTGAAATGTCTACCGGCAGATGTGTAGAGTACAAATACACAACTGCTGCTGCTCGGCATCAATCTGATCATCTAATAAGAAACATCTGGTGAGGTCCCGACCGTCCAGCCAAAGAGGCTTTTGCCTCACAAGCCTTGTTTTGACTCAGTGAAACCATTCAATCACAGAATGATTTGAATTTACACACGCACATCTAAGTGCAAAAGACAGAGACACATATTACAACGAGAGGATGTTATTTCATTATTAATGTGATCTCAGAATTTGATCTTTTGCATTATCGCTGGAGTTCAGAGTGGGAATCTGAGTTTAAACTCTACTAGCAGGGTTGAGTGGAGGCCTGAGTAATTGTTTTCTTGGTAAAGAGGCTTTATGTTTCAAATCATATTATAATAAAATGTCAAAATAGTGCAACAAGCTTCACTAATTATTGTAACTTCAAATGCTCATTCAGCTCAGTCAGCCATAAAGGCGGCACGCAAGACATAAAAAAGTATTTTTTTAAATGACATTTATTTCTTTTTTTTAAAAATTTAAAATTTTTATCTTTCATTATTTTTCAAACAGCTTTTATTTTACTGGAGACAAGAGAATTAGGGAGAAATGTTAAACCAAGTGTAATTTCCATTTTGAATATAGCAATTCTTTATAAAATACACCTGAAAACACACAGGACATATTTAAGATTACTAAAGGAAATTTAATGACAGTCGAAAATGATTTTTTAATTTTGAAAGCACCAAATTGGTGAACCAGTCATCTCATGTGTGAGTTAGAAACAAGACGAGACATGGAAGAAAAAGTTTATCAGTTGTCTCAGGGTTTATATGTGGTGCAGTACAGACAAGTGTAAGTCTCACACACACACACACACAAACACACACAGTAATTAATTTGGTGGCTTCTGATTGCCAGGGTTGCTTACTGGTTGGAGAACCCAGATCAGGGTTGTCACCTACAAGATTAACTCTGCAAGATTCACAAACAGAAACACACACACACACACCCATGAAAACACACCGAACAGAGAAAAGTAGTAAGAAAAACTTGGAGAGTAGAATAAACAAACAGATAGAAGCAGAAACAAAGATAAGATCAGACGAGAGAACAAAAGGAAAGAAAAAGGAGAAATAAAAAAACTGCCCACACTGTTCCTCCCTCCCTCAGTCACACACACAGAAACACTGGGTGAGTGACAGGGCCTTATTGTGGGTGTAGATTGAGGCGGTGAGGTGTGTGTGTTGTTCATTAAAGCAGAGTGAATCTCTATTGGTTTTCATTAAGGGGCCTGACCACACCGACTGGATGGTTAATCTAGACAGCGACGTTCTTCTGCTCGCCCCCATCTCTATTTCTCCCATCTCACACACACAAATCAACACACACACACACACACACATCTCCCCTTTCCACACACATGCACAGACAAAACCAGATTCTTATTTATTAAGCAGAGGTGACAGGTACTGAATAAGTTGTTTTCTGGTACAGTTTGAGTGTGTGTGTGTATAGCAAAGTTCATGAAAGTGCGTGTGTGGCCCTATATGTGTTTCTGTATTATAACATTGCCGTGTGAGAACATCTGAACGTTCACATTCATTTGTGTGTCAATATCCAGTCATGTTGGTCCTCACAGATGTGTCCACGTGTGCGTCTTTGTGTGTCTCTGAGTGCGTATGTGTAGGAGAGACAATTGGTGTGGTTATGAGTTAAGTCTAATTTCCAGGAGGCCTGTCCTAGCTAAGCAGAGCTGACACAGTGCTGCTCCAACCAGTTATCTGTCAGTGGGAATTAGACACTAACACACACCCTGAGAGATGAGCGAGCAAACACACACACACACACACACACACACACACACACACACACACACACGTTTCTCTTTCTGTCTTACAGTATGTGCATCAAATGGCTGAATGCATGTGGATCATCTTATTTCTATGGTTGTGGTTCCAACCTGCCCCTTTTCTTATTTATCTTCCTCCATTCACAGCTGCACTGCCCCTTTATATAAACAAGTAAATAAGAGGCCCCAAAAATAAAACATAAAATAAATAAACACTGATTCTGGGTAAACAGGCCGAGGACCCAAAGTTGTTTGGGGTTGAGGTCAGGACTCTGACGGCCGGCTATGTTAACAGTAAGATTCTCTTCACTGGAACTAAAGACTCCAAAAGTGTGAGGACAACTGGACCTTCTCAAAAATGTGACTAGTCGCTGGGGCTACACAAGAACTGTAACTTGCGTTGCCTTTAATGTTTATAATAACATTATTTTCTCTCAGATTATCTTTAAACATTTCAATCCCACAGTTAAATTCTTGCAGTGAAGGCTCAGTATTAATATTCCGCATCTTCAACATGATGGACGCAAATTATTTTTGTCTAATAATTTTGATGATTTGCCTAAAGCACAGCAACAGAAAGCCTCAAATCCTGGTCTGTGATGGGGAATGTGCCTGAACTGTGAAGTGTTTACAAGTGTCTAGTAACCCAGTTGGGTACCAGGAAATACAGCTTGTCTTCTTATCTTTCCATCCCATTATTCCCTCTTTCTTTCACTCTCTCGTTCACACAGGGGACCTTTTAAAAAGTGTGTAAGAAAGATGGTTTATGGATCCCATCTGTGCTGCCAGATACTTCTGTCAGCGCAGATGGGATTGTGTTAATACAGCGTCTGATCTCGCTCTCTCATTATTCCGGTTCAGATACTCGGCCTCTTCAAGTGGTCTTGCTGCACTTTTAGCCAAGCCTCAATCCAATCATCTCAGGCTATTGTGTGCTCTGAGGGGCCATACTGTCATTCTCTCTGAGGCTTTGAACATGAGCAGCACCGTCCATGTAAACCAGATACTGATAGAAAATATAAAATTACATCTACAGAAGTCTCTGTTTTCCGCTTTGTATCCCTCCGTCATGTGAGAATGGGAAACTGAAGAGTTTTCAAAATGATATTAAAGGATATTGGATGTTTGCTGCTGAGTGATTGACATTATAGAAACAACAAATAAATGTGAAACCATTTTTCTCACTAATGCTTGTTCTGCAACCTGGCTTTATGAAAGTAATCAATTACTTTATAGTGTGAGAAGAGGTAACACTCTCTGACTTTGTGTATATCTTACTGAAAATGAAAACTAGTTATTTCTAATGTTTTTATATTTAGATTTACTGTGAACAAGAGGGTCTCATTGAATTTGCAAAGCTGCAACTGTACATTCAAATGGTTTTTCAGTCTTTTTTTAAAGTGAAGTACATATTTAATTATCATTTCCTTGACATATTCATATCCTGGATCGGTATAGAAGTTTTTCTGATTGTGTACGTTCAGTTTTGTAATAAAACTCTGATTCACACAATGCACCATCTAAATAGAGATGTGAAAGCCCAACAAAATCTAACATCAATAAGAATAGATATAAATAAGGGTTGATAACAGTTCAACAACAAGTTCAACATGAATTTTAATTGATGTTGTCTCATTTTTTTAAACTATAAGGAGCCATTTTTATCTGAGGCCAACTATTGCATCTTAGATTCAAGTCTTATTTGTGCAAAAGCCTTTGAGCAAGAACCTGAACCCTGAATAAAAACATGAACTACACATTGAAAGTGTAAGAATGATTCATTATGATGCACTTGCAAAGTTGAGATACTTGAGAGGGATAATAAAACAAAATACAGGCAATACAAAAAGCCTTTATATGAGAGCACCGTTTGCTTTTTCATTTAAAAACACACCGCTTTTGTTTTCTGAATCAAAGTAATACATTAGAGAGAGATTGTACTGGGCTGTGGCTACTTGGAAAGAGGGATTTAGGAGTGTGTGTGTGTGTGTGTGTGTGTGTGTGT